CCGACACGTAAATAGGACGAATGAAAACACGTGAACGAATATTCATAAATAATTTAAACTATACTATCTTGAAAGCAAGAAAACGGAATTTTCGATTAAAAACAACGATACATTTTATTTCGACACGTTTCTTTCGACAATAAACGATGACTGTCGATCGACACCGCAGTCGTTCAACAGATCATCGTTGCATGGCAACCGTTCGCGACGTATGCCTCGCGATCGAGAACAAAACCGCGATCCGTAGCCAGTCTAACAATGTCGTCTTATAAAATATAATATAATTTCGATTCCTCAATTCGGATATCTTATAATGAGAATAGTGTATCGTTAAACATACACTAAACATACACTATGCCCAGTAGCTGAACACCCTGTATACTAACAGATTGAAACTTACAATTGAAGGACTGTTCTTTAATAATCTTCTACAATAATACCCTTAGGTATTAAATCGATCACTCCAGATTTCACCATCTGCGATTTTGTTTTAATCCAAATATGTTTTAGTCCATGTGACATTAGGGGGAGGGTTAAGTTATCATTTTGTCGATTTCAAATTTGTTAAGAAATAACAAGCCTTAAAAATTAGCAATTTTTGCCCATTTTGGCGAAAATATGCTTCACTTACGAATTTTTTTCTCAGAAACGTATTGGCTGATTAACTTTGTTTTGTTTTATTCATAAAGCACTGGGCTACTATAAAATAATTTTTCTGACATTGTCAGTTTGTTCAATAACATATACCATCAGGTGTTTGTTTAATTTGTGCAATACATATCTACAGAGTGTACTAACATGCACCTCTTGAATATCATGCTTACTTTTTATACTAAAAGAAATTGACAAAGAAAAACATTTTGTTCAAACGGGCAAATATTATTAGGTGGTTAAGAAATTTTTCTCGAGGTAATTTTTTCCAAGATTTCAAGGTCATTCTTTTTTATATGGGATAATATATTTTCATCGCATGATAACTGAGGTCAAGAGTCCAAGGTCCTATAATACTTTGAAGTACAAAAAATACGTAAGAACTAGATAACTGACGCACAAAGTGAAATAATCGATAGAAAGATTAACGAAGGAAATTTTATCGCAGTGTTTTTGCATCTTCACTAGTAGCAAGTATCGATCGTTCTCTGTCAAGTAATTTTACACAACCTGTCTGAGAAATAATTCAACTAGGCTATTTTATTAACGTCTTAATTTAGACAATCACCTAAGTTCACTGTTTCTTTTTATCATCTCCCTACTTACTTATTTATTCTTACAAACTCTTTGTTCTTTGAGACGTCTAATGGTGACATTAGACGATCAATATACGTATATTATCAATATTTCAGACCAACCTTTAGACCTTCAGACGATCAGTATATATAGGGTGATTCTGAGAACGGCGACAGGCTACTATTCCTTTTTAAGTAAAGACAGGAAAAATTATATGGTATAATACATTTTAATTTTCTATGAATTTATTTTTAATGTAGATGTACTGATGCACTTGTCAAGTGCACTTCATTCTTTAATGCAATCCAATATTTCTGTTAAATCAATCCATTACTTTGGCATACATGGCATACAAGGCCATCGAAATGTCAGTACTTCACGAAATATTTGACATTTTATTGTCAGCAACTTACTTTATTAAGGTGAAGTGGGGTAAGTGCAGATTGGTTTTTGTAAAGTTGGTATTTAAGCGTAAGTATTTTCAGTCTGCTATGTAAATACTTAATGCTATCGATATCGAACGCTTTGCACAATTACTACTATTTAATTAATATTAACTAGGACCTTAATTTTCCTTGTACATTTTGATTTTGATAAGAAATTGTTTAAAATGTCAGCTACTCTGCACTTTCCCCGAAAATGGGGTAAGAGCGTAACTTGAAGTTAAAAATACTTTGAAACTTTATTTCATGTGCAATGGGGCAAAAGCAGAATTATTAACAAATCTGCTATAAAATGCTTTTTACTACATTATGCAAGTACTCTATACTGCAAACAAGTACTCTTAGCTGAAATATAAAAGGGGATATAGTGAAACAAAGCAAGGAAACAAACATACTAAATGGAGAAATTTCACTTATATTGTAATAAAAATAGCCTGTATACGCATTTGCCCCGTTTACAAATTTCGTATACTTCAGTTTTAAGTTTAAATGCAAATACAATTTGTATTGTCAAGGATCCTTGAATATAAATCACATGTGAACTTTAATTTTCTTTATTGCAGCAGCAAATAGTTATAACGCATGTGATAAACACATTATGTGACGTTAAAAAATAAAAGTAGTAAGAATACCTTCGAATGCCAGTAAAATAGTAATTTGAAGAAAATTTGTAATGCCTGTAATAATTCATATTATGACCTGAAATATTGGATATGGGTATTTCACTGGCAACGTGTTAAGCGTGAAGCGTAATATCTAGCTTTAGAAGTGGCAGACGACTAGAATCGATACGTTTAAGCTTCTACGAAGATCGATAGTGTTAGTGTACTGAAGCGTAATCAGACGGGAAATGTTAAGGCCTTACAAGATGCAAAGATTACAATCTAAAATTGCTCGTAAATATCTACATACAAGTAAATCTAATACATATCACAATTTTATTAGCAAAGTGAACAGATTTTTATACAGCTTAATGACATCTAAAATTAAACTAATTTCATGTAAAAAAAAGTAAAAGGAAATTTTGCCCCGTTTACAAATTTCGTATACTTCAGTTTTAAGTTTAAATGCAAATACAATTTGTATTGTCAAGGATCCTTGAATATAAATCACATGTGAACTTTAATTTTCTTTATTGCAGCAGCAAATAGTTATAACGCATGTGATAAACACATTATGTGACGTTAAAAAATAAAAGTAGTAAGAATACCTTCGAATGCCAGTAAAATAGTAATTTGAAGAAAATTTGTAATGCCTGTAATAATTCATATTATGACCTGAAATATTGGATATGGGTATTTCACTGGCAACGTGTTAAGCGTGAAGCGTAATATCTAGCTTTAGAAGTGGCAGACGACTAGAATCGATACGTTTAAGCTTCTACGAAGATCGATAGTGTTAGTGTACTGAAGCGTAATCAGACGGGAAATGTTAAGGCCTTACAAGATGCAAAGATTACAATCTAAAATTGCTCGTAAATATCTACATACAAGTAAATCTAATACATATCACAATTTTATTAGCAAAGTGAACAGATTTTTATACAGCTTAATGACATCTAAAATTAAACTAATTTCATGTAAAAAAAAGTAAAAGGAAATATGTTTCGTATAAGAATGTTTAATTCACGCATTGCATATTGTTCACATCCACTGATTTTTGCCAAATTTTTTTACACACAAATATTAGAGTAAAACATTCAAAACATCAACAGATCATCAGATTTTTCAAATTTTTTTTCGAAGTTTCTTATTTCAAAATTAATAATATAATTAATTTTATATAGCACACAATACTCTAATACTATTTGTTCCAAATAAAATAGGAACGATATAGAAAATTATTATTATTCGAGAAATTAACCTTGAAATTTCATTAAAAGAATAAACTCAAGGGAAGACTGTTTTAGAGCAGGAAACCTACACAGAATATACATTTTTGTGCACAGAGTGGAAAATTACATAGAGTTTCCATTCCTCAAAATAATGTAACAAAATTTTTCATATAACAATAAACATCGCAGATCTGTGAATACCCTTCTACACTGTACAAGTACAAGCACAGCCATTAATTATTCAGTAATTATTTAACCACCCACCTGCGTGTACACGGTGGTAATGGCCAAATAAATTGCGCATAATAAGCTAATGATGCAAACGGTTTAATTGAACAATCATTTACATGAAAAGTTACAAAACGATCGATAAAACAATTAACAAACAACTAAAACAATTTAACGCTAGACTTACTCAATGTCCTTTATGTAGCGTTCTTTAATTAGCGTCATCTTTCAAGGAGCATTTCGCGAGAATTGAGATTTAATTTGTTTTTCTCGACATTGCTGCGCAGGGCCGCAAGATTGAGGCAAGGGAAAAGGGAGAAAGGGGGCAATAAGAAAAAAAAAAAAGGAAAAAGAGTGAACGAAGAAAGGAAAAACGGGAAGGAAAGTCGAGTTCCGAGTAGAGGTGAAATGATAAATTAAAGCTGAGCACACTAATGTTCCCCGCCGCAAAACAAGACGCCTCAAGCTGCAAAATTATGAAAGTTCCAAGACTAATTGTGAAACTTTCCGCGACGTTCAACATTTCCGTAAACTCGCCGGCCCGGTTAGTATCCCTCGACTTTTTTCATCAAATCGAACAAACATTTTAATATTCATCTTGAAAAATTATTTGCGACTCCTCGAAAAAGGGGTGCACCTTTCATTAAGAAGTATTAATATCATGAGATTCATTTTAACTGAACGTTCAACTGAATGGAGTAATTAAAAATTTAACAAAATATTAACTGTGAGAAGAGACGGAGTTGAACTTTCTGAGGATATAAATACTTTGTAGGAACATTATTCCTCTAAATGAAAGATTTACAGGATTTTTTCATTTTAGACTGTTTTAATTCCTTCCATTCTTCTAGGTTTTTTATTATTTAGTGTAATGGTTATAAATTTTTAATACATATTCTGACACAAATTTATGCCTTCGATAAAAATAATAATGGTTGACCTTTGGCTGGTGTTTTTAAAAAAATAATGATTATGAACTTTTATTTTGAAAGTTGGTCTTTGGCTGGTTTTTAATAAAGCTAATCAATATTCTTGATTTAAAAGTTTATCTTCGATTTGATTGACATTTTTGTATCTCAGTCAAAGGCTAAAATTAATGGAGGTGCTACTTCAGAAAGTTTTTGACCTTTATTTTAAAATTGTGTAAAAGGAAATATAGTGCAGTACCTACACCGCCATTGATATCAGTAAACTTCTTAACGGATGACTTTTATAAAGTTACAGGAAAGGACGATTTACCTTCCGCATGATATTTACAGCACATAAATATTTCCGAAAAAAATTTTTTCAATTACTTTCAAAATATTGAATGCGTTCAAAAAATAAACTTCGAAATAAACAGCTCAAACAACAGACGTGTATACAAAGATTGTAACAACGGCTTTGAGGATAAATTACAAATGTCGCCACAGAGACGGCCCGCAAAGGGTTAACAAGTGAAGTTTTTTTAAAACAGCCGCCGGATTACACGCTCGAAACGGAAGAGAATTTGAAATTCAGCGAACCGAGCTTCATAAAGCCCTTCGAAAAGTGGTTGAATACCGCAGTATCACTCAAAAACAGTCGGCATAGCAGGCGGTGCCGTTTGTTATTTAATCAAAAGCGGAGATTGCAAAGTTCATCGTAAAGTCCCGTTTCATTCGCACGGCAACTCCGTAGAAGTTCTTTGTTTACTGCCTTACCACGGTTCGCAAGGAGTTCATGGAATTCCTTGTCAATAACCGGCACGGGTCTTGCTTTTATCGAATCGTTCTTACGGCAAGTTCCGACGAAAAATTGCCTCCGGCGGAATAATATTGCTTCAACCGTTTTATTTCATTGAACTTTGCGGTTCTGTTTTCACTTATTTACGTGAACCGGCCCCCTGGAGAAATTCAGAGAAGTAGTTCAATGGACAATTGCGGAACAATTCATGATGTTTGATTGATAGAAAGAAACATTTCCACTTTACAAACTTTGATCTGGTAAATTTTCGTTGACGATAGGTATCTGAGAACATATGTATATGGAGATACAGGAATTATTAAATGCACGATAATTTCATTTGTAAGTTTGACTCTGCGTTTCCGCCATTGATTTTAACCGAAATTCCATATAAAAATTGATTTTTTTATCCCTTGCACTGTTGTGACAAATCTGAGTGATGGACTTGCACTTCAGCTGTGATTTATTTTGCTCGAATTTTCAATAACCAATTTGGAAGTCAAGGTTAATAATGTGCATAGTCAACGATTGGATAGTAATTAACATAACATTTCAAATTTCTTTATCTGTTTTAATATTATAGATTAGTTTTTAAATGTTTAATGTCCCAAGTAATTTCTGTTTTATCAGTCAGGGAACACGTGATCAGTTACACGAGAGCTTTGACCCAAAATCAGTGAACGTACAAATATTGGTGCAAACTTTTCGAGTCAAAGCAGGAACGTATCCCGACTGTTATTAAACGTTTGGAGTGTTGGTAAATTTACTCGCTGAAGATCGAAGAGCAGATGAGTTAGCAGTACGGGTAGAGAAGATCAGATTGAAATAAGGGAAACGAAGGAAGAAGACGCGCGAAAGAGGCGACGAAGGAGAACACGAACTTTGGTCTGGAGGAGTAAGTTAACTGTTCCTGTGGAAACTTAAGAACGGTATATAGGAGAAGGAGGTGCAGACAGGACGGGGAGACTTTGAAGGACCTTTAACCAAGGAGGAGGAGCTGGTTACACGGTACTCGAGGTAGCTGGAAACAAGCCGGTTAGGGCTGCGACACATCTTGCGGCCTCTTAGCCACGGGCCAAGCTAAACCTCTTGCTTGTGTGTTTGTCTTGTTACTGACTGGAGAATTTCAAACTCGTTCGACCGACGAAATCACGTCGTAATCGTAGCCAGTGTGCTGGAAAATCTTGTACTCGTGACGGCGTGGTTAATTAAACGTGTTGTGCTGATAGAACACGGTACCTATATTAGAATATAGGATGGAACACGTATAATCTCGTCCATAAGTTATGCGATTCGGAGGGGCTTAAGTTTTAACTTTTAAAATATTGCTTGGACACCTTAACGTGGTTTGTATGCAGAGAAACGGCTTGTCAAGAGTTTAATATATTTTGTAATATTTCAAAGACATACATTGTATAGTTACGTTATGTGTATAGAATATAAAGTATTACTATAGGCGAAGAAACCTATGAGACTAGAAGGGGCGTAGAAGAAGTTCAGTAGTGGTAAATCGGTTAGTTTCGGATGCGTTCGGTTCGAGTTGGCTGAATACCGTTATGTGATTGGCGACAGGAGTGTCAGTGACCATCATAAGCGTCCATTTTGTGTAAATTGTGTTAGTAGCAAATTAAAGAGAATATTGAGAAGTGACTAAAATTGTACGGAACCATGAATTTTTATATTGTAAGCAGTTGTGCAAATCGTAGAAAGAATAAAGGTTGTGAATATTTAAGAAAAGAAAATATAAATAACAAGACTAAATACAGATACGTAACTAACAATTTATGTATAATATAGATATAATCTTACAAGTTTGTGGTGCTTCAAATGTATTATAAACCACATGCTGTACAAAATTTTCACTGTTTTATGTTTATTATTTTTTTTGGAGAAAATTGTATGATTTTATAAATTTTCTTTGAATTTTACAGTGAACCTTCGATTTAAGTAGATCGAATTAATTATTAATTATTCTTCAAAAAATAAAACCTTACACATACAAAATTATACGAATGTCATGGCACAGTATCATCTTCATCACTGTCGTGTTAATTTGATTACACTGTGATTTAATTACATTTTGCTTCAGTGGAATAGTAATTCGGTTCTATTATACTTTGAATGACATAATTCAATCGGTTCAACTATATTAATTACTAGTTACTGAAACCAAAAGTGCGACTGAATTTCACTGTGTGATTAAACCATTAGAGTCATGGTACGAATAATGTAACGCTAAATAATGATTTAATATGAAGTACAAATTTACAATCTACAAACATTAATATTTAACACAAAAAATAACAAGAATTACTAAGATTCAATTTATGAATTTATTTAAAATTTATAGAGATTTTTAGGAATTAATTGCGTCCATGTAAAATTGTTAATTTATGCAGATTTACAAATAACTTCAATTATAGTATAAACAATTACAAATAATTTTGTTGTATATTATTACTACGATAAATAAATATTTCTTATTGTTTTCTCTTATAAAAATCAGACGTGTTTCAAAAACTAGAATAATCTTTACGTAGTTACCAAAACATACAACGTTTAGTAATCTCAGTTTGAACTTAAAACCGAAATTTGCAACTGTCTCATGAATTATGGACGTGAGTGTACATCTCCATATGCATGCGCTGTTTACGGCACACATTATGGATGTTAAGATCGGAGCATGAACATACGTGATTTGATAAACAGTCAATAGCTAACGTTATGCGGGCATTGATTTTTGTATGTATATACAGAATGTGTGAATAATAAGCTTACATTGCAAATTGAATAGAATAAAGTTGAGCTTTACTTTCTTTACTTTATGTTTTCTTACCGATAATAAATTGGAAGGTTACTTCTGTGTAATTACTTTGTATTAGTACTTTGTTAACAATACATGAATGATGAAATATTTTTTAAGTAGCAATTTTTATTATCAACAAGCCATATAAACTTATAAATGCAATAACTCATTTTAAATTCCCCGCGCTACAGTTGACGCCATATTGCTTTTTCTGCGCCTAAAACTGTGTATCTGCATTCGAAGGGTTTGCATGCACTTTTTCCCCGTTTTTCGTTTATTACGTCCTTCATTAAATATACATAAATATATGTATTAACTGAAATATACTATATTTATTTTATTTAAGTCCAATAAACATAAATACGGGTAATTTCTAATGTAGTATTAAAGAAACGCTTCATTAAGTCTCTTCGAAAGAAAGCTTTCAAAGAGAAAAGAAAGCGATGGATCAAAAAAGATTGCTAGATCGTCGCAAGGGTGAGAGTAAAATAAATTCCTCGTAAATCTGGAAAAGTCCTACGGTTCGATTTATCGTGATATCACCACACCATTATTATTTCCAAGTGAACGGACGATTTCTCTTTCACTCTGTCAGCTGTCACCGGGTCTTCTATTAACTCGTCAGGAAACTTTTTCAACCGATACTTTACATTGAACAACCGTGGCTTCCCCTTATTTCGTGACTGCATAGAAAGAACGTAACTCTTGTTACTTCTTCCCTTTACACGCATTTTACTTTCACTCGTGCAAGGGGGTGAGTCATTGAAGAGGGTTGGCTCTCATCGATAAAAAGTAATGCTACCTTACCCTCGACTATTATTTATGGTAGTGTTTTCAACCACTTTTTTTTTGCACTTTACAAGCATTATACCGCGATTTTTAAGAGATTTTTTATACACCGATTATGGGGTAGAACTAATGGAAGTGTTAAAGATTACGTCGTTCCTAAATGAATAGAGTACTATACGATCTGTTAACATGTTCGCTCTCATTTTTGCTTCAAAAGTGTTTAATTATGTTTTCAGACTAAAAAGTATAGTTTTTGTTATAATTTTGATAAATTATTTCAATTATTCATTTTTATTGATGTAGCTTTGTTATATGGAAATCAATCGAAACATTTTTAAATATGATGTGAAATGTTTCTTAAATATTTTAAAATGTATTTCTAAAATATTTAAAAATGTTTCAATTAATTATATTTTTAAATATTTCTAGAAATTGAGAAATATTCAGAAATTGAGTACAACTTTACAAAACAACAAAGTTATAAATTGAGATATGTAAGAATTTGAAAAATTGAGATGTTATGAAAATAAGTTGAGAGTTTGAAGAATTGTGAATACCCATAAAGGAGTATAGTAATAAAAAAAATCAATGATGCAAATTTTAAAGATTTTAATTAGGTAGATATTTCAAAAGAAAATAAACGAATAAATGATGTACTATCTAATTTAATCAGCAAGTTGAGCAGAGTAGTACATGAAGATCAAGTACACGCGAGCGGACGTGAGTTCCGCGAAATATGCGTTGAAACTTCGTTCACATTCCAGCGAGGGTATCAGCCCCTCGTTCGAGCATTCTTCTTCGAGCAAGAAAGTTTTTTCGCGTCTTAATCGAGCCGCGTTTCTCGTTACCCCAGCCACGAAGAGAATCCTCGAGTATTCCAAGTATTCGGGGTGTCGAAGGGTTGGTATCCATGCACGAAGCTACCAGTCGGAAGAGAGCCTAAAAAGAGATCCGCCTTCTGAATGACGATTATCCGTCAGTGACTCGACTTGACTGCCGGCGACGAAGGTTACAAATGCCCAGGGGCACCCCTTCTTCACACCGGGAGCATAGTTCTTGTTTCAACCCTCGACGCTACCATTCATCGTGGATTAAACGCGAAGGAGACCTAATGAAAGTCGCCGCCTATTCCCCTTGGCGCATCCCTGTGATTAGCGAATAGAGGGATGCTCGATTCTCTCTGATGCAAGATTTCGAACAATTCGTGTGCGAAAGCTCGTATCGTTAAGAGATTATGGTAACTGAAAAACTGGTATTTACTTTGCATGAGATGAAGCTCCTAAATCCCCAATTTTCAAAATTTTTGACCTTAAACATTTTGAAATGTAAAAAATTTCGAAACTCCTAGATATAAAAATTCTGAAGCTTCTACATCTTCAAAATCTTAAATTTTCAAACTTCCAAAGTCCCAAATTCTTGAATTCGTATATTTTTCAGTTCATAAATTTAGTAACTCCTAAATTTCAGTATCCGCTATCCTTCGAATTTTCAATACAAATCCTTAATTTCTCATATTCCCAAATTGTCTAATCCCTAAATTAGTCAATTAAAATCTAGTAAACTCACAAATCTTACAAATTCTAAAATTTCTGAATTCTTAAATTCCAAAATTTGAAATATTTACTAATTCTTAGATCAACTTCAAATATTCTATTACATAAAACTGAAATTGTAAATTTTTTTAATTTTTAAATTCTAACATTTCCAACGGGTGGCAATTCCCAAATTCTAGAAT